TAGAATATATAATGGTTTATAATATGTGGCGCATATAATTTTTCATTATCTGTAATGTCATACCCTGAACACTCTCTCCATCATTAACTGCAATATGCCCTTGTTGGGTATGTAAGCAAAAGTAGCACACAGCCCTATAAATATTTGAAGATACATACACCTAAATGAAGACTACAAATATTTATAACTAAGACCAACAGATTGAGAGACAGGCAGACTCATGCATGTAACACGTGATCTTCATGAGATCTTGTAAGTTTTTTTTAATGGCACTGAGACATTTTGTAATTAAAATTTTCGATTTTATTTTTAAACAATTTATTTTTGTTTGTCTTTGACAATGTTAAAAATTCTGTCGTGAATGTGAATTATACTTAAATGTAATATACATATATGTGTCCACATCAGTCAAATATTTACTAAAGATCATTAAACAGTTTATGCGAAGGTCTTCTCATAATTATAATTGATTATTATTTAATTGATTATTTGATCTACGTTTTCTAAAATTTTACTTAGTGAAAGAGTTGATTTTTTCTCTTCTATACAATTGTTTCTATAAAGCTATATAATAATTTATATAATTTTTATATATAATTACAATAACGTATTTATTTGTTTTGTTATTAGTTTTGTATATAATTAATAGTTTTTATGTTATTTGTGCTTTATATTTAAAGATGTAGATACAGAAAAACCTTGGGAAGCATTGTATGTACAAATTAATTTATGAAAACAAAAAAAATAAAAATGTTTTATATATATAATTTAATAAATTTAAGGTTTTTTATACAATATTTTAAAATTTTAATAAAATTTTAGTAGGCTTGAACCATATATATTGTTGGAGACGCTTCTTACATAGCATACTGTTTAAAAGTGCTCCTTTGCAAAATAAAATAATTTATTAGGTGATCGAAAATGTAGATAATATGGATCTATTTTAAATAGAAAACGATGTGGGTTAGAAAAAGTGAGAACATTTCTCAATCCAAATAAATATTTAATTTTTTTAATAAGTGAATTCTTGATCTGGCCATACAGCTGTTTTGGATACTACTAAATTTCCTACATTAATAGTCTCTAAAAAAATATATTGGTTTTATTGGAGACTCTTCTTACAATTGTATACAATGCTCGCTTGTAAAATAAAATAATTTAATATCTAATCGAAAACGTAGGTAAGATAGATATTTCAAATATAATAAGGGGTAATAATGAGAACATTTTTCAATCCAAATAATTATTTAATTTTTAATCAAGTGAATTCTTGATTCTTGATACAGCTGTTTCGAATACTGCTAAGTATCAAACATTATTGGTCTGTGAAAAAATATACTACTTTAAAAATTGGTCGTGCAGCTATTTCTTAAGTGGTCTTTGGAAACACTATTCGTTTAATTGTGTATACTTCGTTTTTGTTCTGCAATCCTGTCAAATTTATTATATATAATTTTTTTTTGATACTATTTTACTTTTAACAAATTCTCTTATTAATTCCCTTATTTGTGATAAATAATTAAAACTATATAAGATTAATATTTTTTTACCATTTCTATAAATTTAACAGTTCATACACTGTTTTTAAATATAATTAAAAAAAAATTTTTTTCAGTATACATAATCTTAAAAAATTAAATTAATATAGCAGAAGGTGATTTACAAGAAAATTGTGAAAATATTTACTATGTACTTTGTAAATACATCTTTTTACATCTATAAATATATGATGGTATCATTTCTTAATACATATATGTATACAAATGAAAAATTAAAAATCGACCGCAATCAAAAATATATAGACAGAATGTAATTATGACATTGTGAATCCGTATCAGTTTATTTTTGGTTTTCGGTGTTGCATTGATTTTGACTGCCTATATGCTCTATAGACATTATGAATATATATGTATATGTGTATACGTCTTCATTTATTTTTGTGTATACAATATGTCAATATATAAAATATTTATTTTTACTTATTACCATATATTTCGAAAATAGTCGTGAACTTTTTCATTTACACAAAATAAAATAAATAACTGAATATAAACTTATATAGTATATGTTTGAGTTTAAGTACTGTTCTAATTATAAAGTTATCAATCTTTCAAATACGAAAGTCTAGACAAATAAATTTAATTGAATACTCCCTTAAGATAGTTTGACAAAGGATTATAATCAATTAAAGTCTTTAATTGAATTTTTTGTATCTCAATACATAGTATGGGTTTATAAATTTTAAATGTCAAAATATTGTTGAGAAAGTCTATAATTAGTTTTTTTTTTTTAAGTTTTAAAAGTAGTTAACAGATATTTAATAAAATTGTTGTTGTTTATTACTTATTTTGAACTGAAAATTTACTTCCGTCAGTTAATAAATTAAGTTGTAATTTTGTAATATATACCCTTTAGCTTGTACTATTATAGTTTTAATATATATTCATATAAAAATAAGTATAATAAAACTGTTTCATATTACTTATTGCAATCGATTACTAAGAATTTATATCAGCGCAATCAATGTAAATGTATAGGCACATATATGTATATATATACATAAATCTATCAGTGTAATCATCACGTAAAATTGTAAAAATATGCAGTGGTGTAGTTGTGATAATTTTAGAAAGTAAAGTAAATATTATACAAACTAGAAAAGTTTAATATAAAAAAATTAATAATAATTATAATTTTAATTTAAATTTTTGTTGATCAGTTATTTTAGTTGATTGTTATAGCATATAGCACATTGTCAAGCTTAACATGATTGATACCAACAAAGATCTGTATTATTAATAATTGTAAATTCATTGCTTATATAAACTTCTACCACAAAAACCAGGTTCCAGAACTACAGTACAGTTATTTGAAAATCTTTCACAACCATTAACCTTTAGTAAGCTTTCCTTGAAAAAGTTATGTACGAAAATATTTCACATGAAATAATAAACATTTCGTTTATATATATATACATATACATATATATATTTATATATATATATATATATATCAATTACATCTTTTAAATAAAAATGTGCAAACATTTAAATGATAAGAAATTGCAGTTCAGATAGTCTAACTGATTATATTACAAAATCTGTTTCTAAGCTAACGTAATCAACTAATTGCTTAAATTACGTGTAAAGAATTTATACACGTGTTCTTTCTAATGAAATTATTTATTACCTATATAACTTATCAATCTTATTGTATTGTAAATAAAAAATAAAATAAAAAACAATTAATAATCAATAAAAGTAGTTATTTTTAAAAAGTAAAGTGGATTGTACTAGAATTATTACGACTTAGATGAGTATTAACAAAATCTAAAATTAGGTCCAAAATTTATTAAAGTTATATATATATATATATAAATCATTCAGTTTGAAATAATTGTTATGACCCTGAAATTATTCTGATTTATAAAAATATTTATGATTTTACAAGACTGTTAGTATTTTACATAGTTTTCTATAGGGCCTTGACGTTATAGATGGAATCATTAAACTTTCATAACAACAATTCTAAGAGATTAGTTTTTTTACGTGTACGAGTAATTACGTGTAAAAAATTACTTTTCATCTTAAAAAAATTGGAATAAAATATATATAGGTATAACTAATATTGACTAGTAAATATTTTCTGCGTACAATCAAATTCTATATAATCTACAGAGATACAATGAATAATGTTTCTACTGTTTCAAAAATAATAAAATCGAATTTTACGTCACTGAAAATAATATTTATATATATATCGTATATATTTGTTGATATGTATATTACATCAGTTGTTTATATTATTATTATTGCATTTATTTCTGTTGTAAATTATTATTTAGTTATATTTTTACATAACATAATATTTATAATATTGTTATTATATTATTGTAAAATACATGTTTGCATCATTCTGTTATGAAACTTTTAATTAAATTTTTAAATTATAATTCTTTTTACGAACTTTTTAAGAATATGTAACGGAAAATTTAATCATTTAAAATATCCACGAAATTTTAGTTCTGAGCGAGCTATTGTATTGTTTAATTACAATTTCATATACATAATATATAAATATATATATATTATAGAAATTTTGAATTTGTTTCTCGACCTGGTTTTTAATAATGTTTTTTATATATTTTATATTAAATGAACGTTTAATAATTTACTGTTTTAATGAACAAAAAGTTTTTAATAATAAGTTTGTTTTTTTAATAGTATAATTGGTCAATAGTTAAATAATAACTATAGTCATCACAGTACCCTGATGATGACTACAGATTATAGTCGAAATATTGGTTAAAATAAAATCTTTTAAAACAAATAAAAATTTTTTAAACAGTTTATAAAATAAAATTATTAAAAACGTTTAATTTTGATTTTAACAAAAAGGTGACCTGTAGCCGGATATAAAATTTATAAAAAATATTACATATTTATATAATTATAATTTATGATTTTTTATAATGATTATTAAAAAAATGTTCAAAAATATATAATTGACTAAAATATAGTGTTATTGTAATACTTTAAGCTATTTTTTATGTACATGAATGCCCTATGATAGGCTCTGGCATTAATAGCACATTCCTGAACTCAACGCCTCTGTTCGAAACTCAATGACGCCGTTATTTAAATCAAACCAAAGTGCAAATGACTTCAAGCCAATGTAATTAAAGATAGTATTTCATTTGAATAAAACTAAAGTAGACTACATTAGTTTTGGTTTAGTTAGTTTTCTCTAATGAAATTTTATTATTTGCGGGAAATGTGATGCATCGCAATGCAGCCGTTAAACACTTCAAATGTGAGTGTGACTGAACCTTTTTAACTAAAAATACATTTGTTTTCGCAATTGCGGTTTGAAGTATACGACCAAGTATCTAATTTCAATAGATATGCAATATTAAATTAAAGCCAAAAACAGAATGTATATATATATATAGTAATAAGAAAAAAATTTACTACTCATAAATATAATTTAGACGAACTTACCTTTGTTCGCCGGCGCTTTTGTTATCGCTGTCACCGGATGTTGCAGGCGTATGCGCTGTTGTGGCCATTCCATTTAACACTGTGTTGTTTTTATGTAGGCAGGACTTACGGCTAAGGCAAGATTTGGGCTGTGTGGGTATGATAGGTGCTGAGAGCATGCGCTCCAGAAAACTGTTGCCATTGAAATTGTTGCGATTTGGTGCAGAACGGCGCGTAGCAGCAGCCGTTACATTAGCTGCATTATTAACCATGGCCTTAGAGGCAAGAGTGATTACCTGTGGTCGACAATAGCGTGACGTTCTGTTTGGTTCGTCATTGTAACTGCAACAGATAATATAAATATACACATTTAGTACATATTACATACAACTTATTAATAATTTATGATAAATGTGTATTTTTGTATTACATTTTTATATGGTCAGAAAAAAAAATCATATAAAACCAAAAATGTTGAAGAAATTTCCACTCGTAAAATTTTTGCGCATTTGGCAAAACTTTGTGCTACTTTTCAATATTGGTGGGGGGCTTTTGTTAGGATCTTGTATAAAGTTTTTTATAAAACAGGAACCACCTCGCACCCTACTTTCCCAATAGTAGCTATTCTTGCCTGTGACGTTAACTTAATTTAAACTTAAATAATCACAAATCAAAAGAAGCCACACAATTTTGGAGGAGATCGCTTGTTTAGATTTCAGAAGAAAAATTTTAGTAATAGACGTACATACTCGGCAGATAAATAAATAAATAAAAAAGAGGAAAAATAATAAAATATGTAGGGTATGTACATCTGTTTTAGTGAGAATATTCAAAACAAAAAAAATGATAAAAATTCGCATTCTGCTGTTGTCAACGCAAAACACGCGCAAAATTTTTGCATTAAAGACGCAGACAAAAATATCTCAACAACTCATAAATTTATTGAAAGCGCATAGTGCAGATAGACGGGTGGGCGGTAGGTCTGTGAATAGCCAGCAAAGTTGTTCTGGTAAACAAAATTAAAGTATTTTTTTTTGTTTTTTTCGTTGGGTGCTCATTTATCAACGGTGGTGAAGCGAGAATTCAAAAGCTTTCTCGAGAAAATACGTGCAAACGGTCACTTCGGTTGGTTCGACGTCTTAGGCGGCAAGTGTTCATGAATATGAAGAGCGTAATTGCTGTGACATTAATAATCACATAATAGATATTCGTTTTTTTTTTTGTAGTTGTAATTTTCTATTTTTTTCTTTTTTTTTTTTGCGAATCTCATTTACTCAAGATCAAGGTGATATGATTATGAGTGCAATGGAAGAGCGAATATCATAGATACAAATTTGCTTTAACTTTTTTTTTGATACAATTCAAATATACATTTTGATTTTGTTTTTGTTTTCATTTCAGGGGCAAGTGCTATGAGTTGTTAATTTATTAAAAACATTTCGAAAATTGCATAAAGTCATCGCAGAAATACAGCTTGACATTTGAGCAATTAAAGCAGTTGGGCCACATACGCCTCTGTGGTGCCGCTGAGTTGATGACGAAAACACTCTTTGATTTATGAGAATTTATATATAAACACGAGCCAGTCGATATGTTTAGCTTTTTTATGATGATTATTATTATTTTTTTCAGTTGAAAAAATAATTAATCTTATTTCATCGACAACTAAATCATTAAATTTTATGGACTTGTTTGCCAAATGAAATTAGAAAAATTGTCGTTAATAAATCCTTTTTGTTTAGTATTGAAATATAAAAATATCTTAAAATATATTCACTAAAAGATATTATATACATATAGATATAAAAATATAGGCATAAAATTTTTTAAAATGATAGTTTTTTCAGTAAAAGTAAAACTTCGAATAAGAATAATAATAATTTAAATATGTAATTATATAATCATATAAGAAATATAATTTTAATTATTATTTTATAGAGAGGTTTTCGAAAAGTAGTGAACAACAAAAATTCTTTTTTTCATATTATTTTAATTAATTGAATTTTTGACTAACCATACATGACCATGTTTCGAGTATTGTCGACTACCCATCAATAATGGTCATGGAAATATTTCTTGTATTTAATTATTCGTAAATAATTTTTGAGACTGCGAGTACCGAACTCGTATTCTGCCAAATTTGAAGCTCAGAGTCAGTGCTTATTATTTTATATATTTAAATTTTATATTATTTCAGCTTCAATAATAAATGCAAATATTAGTTTTTAAAATAAAAAACAATTTCTATGACAAAAATAGAAAAAATAGTAAAAATAGTAAATTACAATAACAGAATCTGATTTTAATTAAATAAATTTTTCTAAGACAATATAGTTCTTTGAAGTATTGTTTAATTCACATTATCAGTGGTTCTTGAAAATATTTTCTGGATTCAATTATTTGTAAAAAGTTTTTCAAATTGTGGAACGGAGTGTTACGTTTAGTGGACAAATGAACCAAGATTGTGTTTGATTTTTCTTGTCTAAAACATTCTTCACCTTTTTTAAATTATTAAAAATATATTAAATTATTAAAATTATTATTTTTATTATTATTTTTTAAATTATTAAAATATTTTTTAGATTAAATCGTTCAAACAGATATTTTCTTATAGTACTCTTATGCAACAACTAAATATATAGTATATGTAATCAATATAATTATATTTGAATGTATCTGTACTGATAAATATGTTATAAAATCAAAATTGATGTTATTAAATATCGGGTTAAGCTTATATGAATTTATAAAAGTATGAGGTAATAATTAATCAACTCTTAGTAATTTAATATGTTTGTGGCTTCGTAAGCAAAATTTTCACGAGATAAGTTCTGTACAGTTAGAAAGACAACATTTTGGTGTATAATAAATATTATATTCATTGAGGTATTATTACTAATATAAATTTAATTGGGATAATTATAAGATTCACACATAAAATTTAAAAGTTACAATTTTGACCAATGGAATAATTCTTAAAAGCGGAAAAGCTTTTCAGAGTTAAAAATAGAAAGCTAATTAGAACAAGAAAAATTTATTACGTATAATATAAACAAAATATATTTTAAATTGTACTATTTTCTTAGTATTTATATGTAATAGTTCTAAAATTAATAGATTATATAGAAAGGTTTTACTTTACAATTCTGGGTCTTAAATCTTTTTAAACGATTTTAAAATCAATATAAATTCATATCAAAAGTCGAAAAAAATGGAAAATTAATTCTAGGTGTTTGTAACTATATTGTACAAAATTATTTTTCAAATTAAAAAATAAAACAAGGTCCTCTACAGACCTCTATAGAAAATCTAGACTTTTATATTCCAAATTTTTTTATTCCATTCATTTTAATAATTCAGATGAAGTTATATAGTTTAAAAATCAATATTACATACTATTCAATCATTCAATACATAAGTTCTGTATTATATATTTGAAGCACAATAATATATATCATATTTATATTATTATATGTATTAGTATTTCATAATATCAATGTAATAATATATTATTCAATATTTAATGTTTATTATTGATAATATAAAAATCTATTTTTAAAAAAAATATTAATAATAATAATACCTTATAATTATATAGTGACTATAAACTAAATTATAATTATATAGTTTGATACTGTATACTATTAATAATTTGTCTCTATCTTCCAATTATTGTTAAGGAATCTACTAAATTCAAAAATATGCATAAAAATTTATTTGTTTATTTTATTTTCTAATCAAAAATTTATTTTATAGGTCAATTATACAAAAATTTTTATAGTTTTATAATACAAATTTAAAATTTATATATGAAATTGATTTGATTATAGTTTGATAACAATGCTTCGCGTAGGGTGCATATTCTAAGATAGTGTAAGCATAAAAAACACGGTGACCTTGATAAAGATCATTGAACTAATATAACATATATAAAAAAATTTAACTTGATGTGATAAAAAATTAAAACTATGCTAATAAAAATAAAGAGTGAATAAAAGGAATAAAAGTAAATTATCGTAATAAATAATAATATTTACCAAAATTATAAATAAATTAATATTAAAAAAAACTTTATGTATTTATTTTATTACAATATGTAATTTTTTTTTATAATATTAAAAATAGGTAAAAATATAAATTTGGTATTAAATTAAATCAAAAAATTATAATATGTATTAATGAATAAATCATATTTATTTAAGCTAACAATAACAATAACTATGATTTCAATAATAAGAGAAAATTACTATATTTAAAAAAATATTAAAATATCAAATCAAAATATTTTTTATTTAATATATACAATCCTAACATATTTATATAGTTAAAATTAAGTACCTACTTTCTGTTTGTTGGGATAAATATAAAAAGAAATTAATCAAAATAATTACTAACTCGAATTGTTTTGACAAAAGCATTTGAAGGTAATGTAAAATTTGCTGAAAATAATGTAATGAATAATAATGAATAATAATTTGCTAAAAATAATGTATTGGATAATAAAAAAAAAACAGTCAATAAGTGAAAACTTAAAAATACGTTAAGTTCGGTTAGTTAATTTTGGCGGAGCAGAGTTCTTTTTCTTTCTCCAGCACACGTAATGAAATGAAAAACTTTTAAAACTAATCTGTCCGGTTAATAAATTTGATTATTTATTCTATGAAGATCTATATTTTATTTATCCGCCTATTTCGTTTATTCATAAGTATCTATAAATCTGAACATTAGTATAGGAAGTATTTAGGACGTGTGCGAGTTAGGCTAAGTTGATGCTAAACCAAATGGGAGATTTTTTGGGATTTTTTGCACTGCACACATTTTGCCATTTATCAACACGTATCGACACATCAATACATTATCGACACAACTTAGAATTTCCCTCATTTAGAACGCAACTTAGCCTAACTCGCACACGACCTTAATAGTCTCATTACATTATCTTTCGTACAGCTTCTACTGGTGTGGTTATGAGGATGCATTGATCTTTGTCAAAACTATAAATGCTACTTATTCATTGTTAATGCTAACAATATTTAAAATAGAAGTTTTCTAGCTCCGTGGCCATCTCATCAGGGGATATTATATTCTGAAACCTATCATTTTTAATATGCATAACCTTAGCCGTGGTATATCTAAGTACAACAATCCAAAATAGGATAAAAAAATTATGCTGTATTTATATAGAATTATAATTATTATATGCAATTATTATTTTACAAATTATTTATTTTTATTAATTAATTAAAATTTCTAATTAAAAATTTATTATTCCAAAACTTATCATTTAGTTAAACTCTTTAACTTCAATTTAATGTATTCACTTTATTAATAAAAATGTAATCAATTTGTAATATTTACATTTTAATTGATTGTAGTATTGTATTAGTATTACTTAAAAAAATTGAGTATTTATCACGTATTACTTAGTTATACAAAATTTATTAAAATAATGAAAATATATTAAATTAAATGTCATAAATGAATTTTTCTTTACTTATTGAAAAGCTTAATTAAAATTATGAAAAAATTAGGAAAATAATTATAAAAGGTATTTTTTTAATATTAAATTATTTATAGTTTTGGTAAATATTATTTTTCATTAAGATAATTTAATTTTAATTAATTTTCTACACTATATGCACATATATGCTAGTATATACTAATATACTAAGCAATTTTATGCAACTAGTTCGTTATATAGAATTGTCAGCTACACGCCGACAATTCATTGAAAACCATTTTATAAGATATGATGAACTATCCAACATCGCAGGATGTCCTTTGAAGATCATTTGAATGATGTTGTATTTAAATTCTAATGATATTTCAAATAAACATGGTTTATTCACTTTTACTTTTGAGACCATTGAATGAATTGGTCTTAATAATACAATATGTTATTATTGCCGTTATGATGAAAAATCATAAATATTTAAATGGTTTACTTTTGGGGCGATTGAATGGATAGGTCTCAATAATACATTATGTTATTATTGCCATTATTATGAAAAATCATAAATATTTAAATGAGAATCGATGGATATTAAATATTCTATAAATCACAAAAAACATTTATATAAAAGTCATAATATTTTTTTTATTGACACAATTGTCATACGTTAAGGTCTCTAGTCATGCATTGACTTTTTAAAAACCGAGATGAACTGAATTTCTGTATAAGATATATGCAAATTGTGAAACTGTAATATTATTTTAGTGTTAATATAAATAACTTTACGTGTAAGTTCATTTTCACTAGTTATGTAGCTACATATCTATATTATATATATAGACATAAAGATTATATACTTATAATAGACTGATTAAAAGTTAATTATCACCATGAAATATTTTGATTATTATGTACACTATATTAACAAAAATTACAATAATTGACGTAGTTAATGAAAATTGACTTTCGGAAAATTCTAATTAGTTTCCCACACTGTAATAAATCTTTTTTACTGTTCGTATTGGCAACTAATAAACGATTTTTTCTGGTTACTAGGTGAATGTACTTGATGCTCTGTTGCTGATTCTAAAATACCACAAAATCGTATAGTAACGTATGTATATACAGCGAACATATGTTCACTTGTTTGTGTGTGTTTTGTGCGTTTTGTATGTTTTCGAGTGCTAATCTTATCAGCCCACATTACTCATAGAACATATGTTTTTCTTTTCTATTTATATGTGGATATTCCGAAATTTCTTCTGAATATATGAATATGTGTGGAAGAATATGAAAAACCAAAATTTATGAGAAATGCACTTGATAATAATTTTATGTACTGTTCTGGTTTTAGTTTCATTTGGCTTATCAGGAAAGAAAAGAACATTATTATTTATTGAATTAATTTAAAAAAAAATAATTGAGTTCCAAAAAACAACACTTAATAATTGAGTTAATGCGTTGGCAATACTTTGGGGGGTAAAGTGATAAAATGTGTATAAAAAATATTTTTACTTAGTCGCGATTAAAAAATGTTTCACTTTTAATTTTTTTTTTTATTGTTTACTTTATTACTGTAGTTACTGTAGATAACTAATTCAATAGCTTAAAATACCAAAATACATATTTTGAGCAGTTATTTATTTAGAATTTATATTCGAGAAACTTTTTTTCGAAAAACTTACTTTAGCGATTGACGATGATTATTCATGTAGTCCGATAGAAAACTAACGGGTGGACTATGACTGAATATTGGTGGACTGTGAGAAATCATTTTGTTGCTTTTTTGTTGTTGCTGTGTTATGCTTCGTTACTTATTTGTTTAATATTTCTTTATAATTTTTACTTTTTTGTATTTATTTTTTTTTTTTAATACGATCACAGATCTTTTACGCTTAACTGCAATAAGAAAAAAATAATTAACATTAATGATATTTACACTAAAATAAAAAAAAGCAAAAAATTATTATTTTGCATTAATGTCAGTTTAGTTAACAAATAAAAAAAAAATAACAACTAGTTTTTAGTGTTTATTGGTATGGAATTTTGTGCAAGGTGTTTTGTGTTTTGTATTTTCTGTTTGTGGAACTTATTAAGTCGTTGGATTAGCAATCATCTGTCAATTTTTGTTGATATGCGTTGTTGTTGTTTTTCTTTTATTTTTCTTTTTTGTTTTTTTGTTATTGAAACATTTTTTATGTTTTCGTTTTTAGTTTATGCTGAACGGCTGTGGAAAACAGTTCCGTTCGGATATAGACTTTTTTCGAAACTAACCATTTAAAACGTGCAATAGCAATTTTTATTTGTTGTATTTATTAACAATTTAAAATTTATTAACAATAACACAATCGTTTTATATTTCAATATTGACAAGAAAGAAGCTTTGCAATACGATTTCTTTTTTTTTTGTATTTTTACAACTTTTTGCTTAACTCAAAGACAGTACACATTTCCTTGCAATCACTTGCTCTTCTTCTTTAAGCAGTGAATTTATAATTTTGTAATTAAATCAAAATTTTTTTGAATTTTATATTTTCACCCGATATATCACGCATATATGGCGTGTTCACATTTTTAATTTAAACGCGCTCAGTAGTTTCATAAAATTAACATTAAAAAAAAATTATGTAGATATTTAAATATTTACTGCAATTATTTAGAAAGAAAATTAAATTCTTTCTCTATTCAACAACGAAAAACGACAAGCGCCTATTGGTACTTTTACTCGTACATTTTTTGTTTTGTAGTTGACTTAGCAATCTTTCGCCGTTTATTGAAAATTTCCTTCTCCTCTTTTCTAGAGAGTCTCAGGTACCGCGCGTGTGTTCGCTTCGATGCTGAACAGACGAATGATCTTGTTCAGTTGCCAGTTGCCGTCGAAAATGCCGTCGAAATTGCTGTTGTCGTTCGGTCAGGAAAATCAAAAAAGGTGGCTAAAGTATTCGTATTCAATGTGTGTCGTAGATTGATTGTAGAAAATACAAACTGCATTTTAATCGGTCGTCATGACTTTATTCATGCATGCTACATGCTTCATGCTAATTAGTTTCATTCAGAATATAGTGAAAAAATCAAGCTTGAGCACTGAATAATATCTTTAATTTAAAAATAAAGAATAGAGAAATTAACAACGGAGGTTTAGTAGTAGCGTACTGAACTGAAGGCTTATCTAATGGATATATTCAAAACAAAATCGTTAATTCGATATTCAGTTTCCGAAAAGTTTTTACTTATAATCTGTAAATTACTTATAATTTTAGAATTTAATTTAAAAATAAAGAATAGAGAAATTAACAACGGAGGTTTAGTAGTAGCGTACTGAACTGAAGCTTTATCTAATAGAGGTATTAAAATCAACTCGTTAATTTGATATTCAGTTTTACTTTTAAACTGTGAATTACTAATAATTTTAGAATTTAATTTAAAAATAAAGAATAGCAAAATTAACAATAGAGTTTTAGCAGTAGCGTACTGAACTGAAGGTTTATTTAATAGAGTTGTTGAAATGTAACTTAATAATTCGAATTCAGTTTCCGAAAAATTTTTACTTATAATCTGTAAATTATTATAATCTGTAAAATGATCATGTTACCGAGTTCTCGAATACCAAGCTACCAAAGTATATTATATAATTTTGTTATACACTAAAAAAAATTGTTCCATTTTGCTAACCATTTCTTCATTTATCATTTCTTCATTTCAATTGGTGATTTATAAATTATTGTATATATATTTTTGTAACATATTTTGGGCAAATTCAAAATGGTAACAGCATTTGATCATGACAATAACAAACATGTGGGACAAGGGAAAAAATGTGAACAACGAACAATATTTCACATAAAACAAGCAGTATGGATTAAAAAATTACTCCATTAAGAAAGGAATGAAAGGAAAATTCATGGAGGGTTATTTTTTCATCTATTAATATTTTGCACAAGACTGTCCGAAGATATGCCCATAAATACATTATTGGATTATTATAACATTAAAGTGGAAAAGTAATCTCAATATCTATTTCTTTTATTATTTTATTTTATTTTTATTATGAAATATAATTTCAGTCATACCTGTAGGACGCTGAGGTGGTTGAAGACACCGCTCATAGGTGACTATGTTTCTGTTTGTAATTAATTCTATTAACATTTTTTTTCTAACTCTTGTTAGTTGCGAGCACAGTCATTGCAGTAGTTAATATTTTTTTTTTTTTGGTGGAGTAATGTACACATTCAAGTTAAGTGGGATGAAGGGTTTTACATTGTAATTAATATTAATTAAGATGTAAATTCATTAATTTATCATTCATTTTATTAAAGTAATTTAAATTTGTGTTAATTGAGAAATTAATGAAAAATTATTATATTTTAATTAAATTTTAACAATTAAAAAATTGAAAAAACATATCAAATTAAAAAATGGCTTCTACTATATTATATTGTATTCATATTTAACATGAAGTAAACCATTTCACTTCACTTATGTAAATAGTTAATCTTCAGTTCTTTGATACAAAGAAAACAAAAGTAAATGCAAAGTCATCGAGAGAGCAGAAAAATAAAACTAAGAGAAACAATCTGGAAAAGAGTAAGGGAAGATTTAGACTAAAGGTCCAGCACACTCGAAGATATGAATGGAAAATGTCTCTAATAAGATTTTCAATATCAAAAATAAAGTAATAAAAATATAAAGATATAATTAAAAAAACTAATATTAATTGGGTGTTATAATAAGTCAATAACTTGTATCTAACATAATTCATATTTTGATATTAAAATTGTTCAAAAAATTGAAATTAAAGTTGTTACCGTAGTTTATATAGTATATAAAATATCTATTTTGATTTATGTAGTTTTTCATAATTAGAAAAAAATCTTTTCAATATTTAGAATCATGGATAGAGCCAAGGGGAAAATATAGAGCGATGGCGCTTTATAAGACTATCAGTATATTTCATTTTATAAAAATAGTAGACCCTCTCCAAATGGGATGGAGGTATGGGATAACCAATCAAGTAGTTATGGGACTTTAGCTCCTCAAGACATCTACCACTCTCTAAATTAATTAATTAAAAAATTTTGTATTCAAACATATGTATATTCATTATAAAAGCTGTTTAATAAGTTAAAATTTTTTGTAATTAAAACATTAACTATAAAAAGTTAAATTACTTAAATTATCTGGGTACCTCTATATATTGCATATTTTATACAATTGTTTATAGTAAAACTGATGAATTTTAATTATTTATAGTTTTACAAAAATTACTGTTTTTTTCTCTTTTTTATATGATTATGTGGCTTTATCTTATTGCTTCCTGTCCACTCCCAAGTTTTAAATCAATTTATATTCATATCTTATCAATTTTCATTTATCAAATATAGGTTAGGTTAGGTTATACCGGTGATCCTTAGTGGGTCCACTTAGGCCTATTGGCCCATTGTGTTACCGTGTATATAGGAAAAACTCATGGTTTAAAACCACCTAGAACCTTTGACGAAGTATAAAATGCTATTTAGTGTCAGGTCCTGTTATTGGTCAAGTTCCACAAGAAAGGGGGCTCCTAGAGTATTAAGTCGTCGCCGTGTATGAGCTGGGCAAAAACATAGTAGATGAGAGTTCATCAAATATAGTTTATTATAATTATAATTTCAGTAAACTTTTTTTTTGTTATAAAATATTGCTTCGTTCAGCATTTTTCGATGTTTAAAAATAAAACTGTAGCAAATCTAAAAAATATGTACGATCAAATATAACAATTCTGTATCATATTTATAATGTTGATATTATAATTTTGTAATAGACGTATAATGTAAATTTAGTAGCTTAAGGCCTATTTGCTATATTTTTTTGCTTCATAATATGCATATTAATCATAAATAAATGTGTCTAACAAATGTTTTGCTGCTATATATAGAGGTAAATCACAGTCTTTCTAAATTCAGAGCTATATTTTTATTTAATATAACAGTTATTATTTATATAACTATAAAAAAAGTATCACATTATTATAATAATATTACATATTGATTACTGTCTGCATACAATAGTATTCTACATTCTATCTGCACAGTCTATAAGGTACTTCCAAAAGTGTAAGTCAAACTCTCTCGTCTTAAATACTTTATGTTGTAGTTATAGCTATATTATAGTGATAGATACGGGCATTTTAAAGTTGAGAAAATTAAATACCATGAGAAGTTGGAGAATCGTGTTTATTGGTTTGGTTGAGCTGTGTGTGCTCTGCGGGTGTATGTATGTGGTGTTCGTAATCAGTATAATTATTACGTACTGCAGTGATTACAATTACTATAAATGCAGTAAAGAAAAATTTGTATGAAATTTACACACACTTGGGCAATTTTGTTCGCTTCTTTGATTGGAGTAGCCGGTAAATTTCATTGTTTTTATATTTTGTTTGTTTATATTTATCTTTATTGGTATTTTTGCTTTTGAAGCGATTCGCAAAGATCCTTTATTTACTTTAATTTTATACATAGTACGATGTCTCGTACGATATCATTGTATTTATTTTTTTTTTTTTATTTTTTTTTTTTGTTGTAGCAAATATGCATTTATAACAAATTTATTTGTGCCATTTTCAGTGATTGGCATACAAATGCAAAAAATGGCCAAAATTGATTGCCGCTCTTGTACTTGTAAAATAAATTGCAGGTTACGCTTCTGGTTTTGCCCCACAACTGATCACAACCGATCACAACAGATCATTTGTGTGTATGTTTTAATAGTATATTTTTGAATATACATACAAATATATGAAAACATATTTTATAAAATATTGTGAGATATTTTTTATTATTATTTTAATACTTAAATCTCAGCCAGCGCCGTCTGAAAGTCTTTTAACACGCAATGTGAACGTGATGTGATGTTCAATAGTTTTCAGACTACATGTAATTGTATAAAAATAATTTACTTTAAAATTATAATATATATAACACATAATCAGAAATCTGATTACCTGCTACGAATTGACTCTCAATAATATAAATTGACAGAAATATAATATATAAAAAGATTTTACAAAATATTTATATATAAACTTAAGTAAAAAAATTTTAAAACTTAAATACTATATTTGTTTAAATAAACATATGAGATAAAAAACTAATTTTTTTGAATTTTTTTTGAATTGTTTTAATTATAAATCATGCAAGAAATACTTCGTCTACAAATAGAATAGTATTGAAATTTAACAATTAAAAATAATAAAAATATAATTAATTAATTCAATTATTCTACGGCTAGTTTATGATTTCGTTCTAATATAAACACATTAAGTGAATTTGTTAATAAAGCAAAGTAACAAAACTCTAGAGAAATGTGCGAACATAAAAAGTCAATTACGGTTTTGGGTCAGTTGGCTAATGAAGGCTGACTCTAAGTTTCAAAATTGGCAGGGCACGTGTTCAATTCCTGGTACTAACAGTCTCAAAAAATTATTTACAAATAATTACATGCAAAATAATTATTTTTTCAAGACCACTGATGATCACTGATGATTTGGCAATAATCGAAACAGCTGTATGGTGTTGCCAAAAACTCAATTAAAATAATATGAAAATGAATTTTTATTGTTGTAGTTCACTACTGTTCGAAAAAACTCTTTATTATTTAATTTATTTATAAAAGTGATACCCATATTGTTCTGAAGCTTATTTTAGTTCTTTACCTTTAAAGAAATATCATACATATACTTTAGGGTTATAGAAAATGATCAATTTTATGGTTTCAAACTTAAACGTGAATAAAATACACTTGTGATTAATATTCTGATCAAACTTTTGTTTAAATATATTGTTTGAAACTGGCCATTAAGTGTGAAATGCACTATTTAAATATTTTCTACAAGATATC